TGTCAGCGGTGTATCTGGGACATGATGATTCGACGGTTGGAGGGGCTTGGTAGGGTTTTGCAGCAGCAGCAGCAGGATAATACCGTAATCACGCGAGCTAGACTTCCTATGCTGGACAACAAGAAGCGGGCACGCTGGAAGCGAACATTCACACCGGGTGGGGAATCCATTTGGACATCAACGATTGGGGATGTTGGATTCGCGGACATGCACCCTGAAGATAGGGATGGTGACGTGAACATCTTGACACTGGAAGAAAGGTTGGATGGACCGGTGGATTCCGAGGCTAACCTTCAACGCGCATTGCTCATGCGAAGCCTCTATGTTGGCAGTCAGAGTGACATGTCTGAGGACGATCAGGTCGGGAGTTCGTTCGCTTTGGGCATGGGTTTTTGTCAGCTATCCCGGATGAAGAAGATGGAGTTCCAGCTGCATCAGCCCCACCTGTGGACGCAGAGACTGTGGATGCGGGTGTGGCTGCGGCTGAGGGCGATGCCGTGTGCACTAAGGTTGCCGCTGCTCCTACCATTGAGGCGGCGCAGCCCACTCCGGAGTATGGGGGGAACACTGTAAATTGGCAGAAATACCATCTATTGTCTTATGAAGAAGAACAGCTTGCAAATCAGGTTGAAGCGAGTCTTCTTGAGGCGAGTGTGGCACCTGTTCAGGCGGAGACGGTCGACCTAAAGGGGTTCTTTCAAGGAGATCGGCAACAGCAGTGGTGTGAGTCATTGATTGCCGAGTATGCCAAGATGGATGGTGTTCTTCGTGAGGTCCCAAGGGCAGGACTGCGGAAGCACTTGAACGTCTCCCCTGAGGCCAAGCTGCCCAGGGAGATTCCTTCAAAAGTTGTGCCCACCATGAAACCTTCTGACGACCCGAGGGCGAATGCAGATGGATTCATGGAGAAAAGCCGTATCTGTGCATGTGGGAACTTCGAGGAGGGCACCGATAACAACGGGGAGCCGTGGTCGTCATCAAACATACCACCTGAAATTGTACGATGCTTTGTATCTCTAGCCGCGAAGGTTGAGGATTAGACATTGGGCGGTCTCGACGTCGAGGCGGCCTTTCTCAACGCGGAGATTTCCGGGGACCGCGTGATAATTACTCCGCCGAAGATAATGAGAGACCTGGAGAAAACACTGTGTGGGTGGCGGAACGCAATATCTACGGACTTCGACGTGGACCGACAGAATGGGAGCGAGAACGCGACCGCAAGCTCAACCATGCGGAACTGCCTCCGGGTGATGGAGACAAACTTGGAGCACTGCATTTGGTCCCTTTGAATCAGGCAGCAGGATTGTGGAAGATCGTTGACGGCGCGGGCGTGACCAGAGGGCATGCTGTGCGTACGTTGACGACGGACTCATTGTGGGCGGCATTGAGGTGATCAGACGGGTCACGGCCTTCATTCAGAGTTTGTGGGCTATAAAGGGGCAGGGCATTCTTGAGAAGCCGGGTGTAGGCCTAAGCAAGGACCTGGTTGTGAGTGAAACCCTGACTTTGAAGCTTGTTCAGTGCATGCGATTCCTCGGTGCAGAGATTTCTGTGGCGAGCGATGGATTGCGTATGGGACAGGCGAAATATGTAGCTCAAGAACTCCGCGCTCGAGGGTGGCTTGCGCTCAAAGGCGCAGAATCTTTGCCGGTACCATCAGAGGGTCTTCAAGGGTCTGATATCCGCGACAATGCGTTCGAAAACAACATGAAGCTGGCTCAGAAGGAGGCTGGTACATTGATGTGGATTGCACTTCGGTCTAGACCGGATATTGCTGCTTGCTTAGGTGTTGCTTCAACTCTGATTACATCGAGGCCTTCCGAAAGTCTCCGTTTGTGCAAGGGGATTTGGTGATATTTGAGAAGCACCTGGAATAAGACTTTGCACTAGCGCTACGGTGGTGGTCCTGTGAGTCCCCGGGGCAGTGATGTTGCAGCAGATGCGGAGTGGACCTTCCGTATCGTCTCAAATGCGTCCCTGGCGCCTGGTGGCGCACGGTCACGAAGCGGAATCGCTCTGTTCTTAGGTGATCATCTGGTGTACTGGAGATCGCAGCGGCAGTCAATTGTGGCTTGGTCAGCGACTGACCGCAGCGGCGATTCAGGAAGGAATCAAGATACACGCAGTGCGTGAGGAGATGCTTGCATGTAAGATTCACATCATTGCCAACGGCGACAATGCTGGGGCGATTCAGTTGATCACTCGGGAGCGCTTTCATGAACAGACTATGCGCACAAGACATTTCGCGATTCGTTGTGCATACATCAGGGCTGTGGTGTGGTTGCACAGCATTGAGGTTCAGCATCGTGGAACAACCGAGCTCGAAGCCGACGGACTTACTGAGGTCCTGGTAAAAGCGAAGCTGGCTGTGGCACGCACGCAGCTGCGGATCATGTAATGGGCAGGTCGGTCGATGATATCCGTTCTGCTCATAATCTTCTCGCATTTGGCCCACTCTCAGGAGTGGCACGTTCTTTTGCAACATGGGCTCCGAAGGAATAGTCCAGGGTCTATGTTTGGGATAGGAAGGCGCAGTAGGTTCCAACTGGGGATAAGAACAGAATCAAGATGCCCGAAAGAAGAAAGACAAGAGGCCATAGGCTGGTCCATCAACCCCCAACGGGCCTGGGGAGTACGCTGTTGCTTCATCCTTTATGCGCCGGTAGTTTTTTTCTAGTTTGGAGATCTGGCCATGTTTGAGTCTCAGCATGTGCGAGCCCGCACATGCCGAGAAGGAGGAGTGTGGAAAGTAGGCCAGATGCTCCGTGATGATCAGCTACTGCTCATGATGGTCGAAGCACTCATCTACGAAGTATGGCTGTAATTCAAGTTGCAAATCTTCTCAGTGTGCGCATGGCCCCTGCTCAGGATGACAAGCACTACTGAGGTGTTTGGCATGGCATGGCCCCTGCTAAGGATGACACGCTTTTCGAGACGCACTTGAAGGTGCGATAATCGTTGTGAATTGGCTCAAGTGAGCATCCAAGCGAGAACCAGGAGTTTGAAAAGCTCAGCCCTCTCTGCCAGTTCGGCAGAGCAGGGCATGTTTAGGGTCAGGGTTCTCTTCGGCGCTTGTTCGTGGAGGCGGGGTAGTTTATGGTAGTTTTCAAGGTGCCAAGTCACGAAGGCGAGAGGTTTGGGGATCAGGCGAAGTTTGTAAGTAATGAGCTCCCCTGCCCCAACCCACTTTAGCATGGTGACGGACTCACCATCACCAGATCAGCTTCAAGCCCGAAACCCTAAAAGGAGTAAACCGAGACCGTCACCGAAACCCGAATGAAAGAACAGAGGAGCAAACGAAAAAGAGAAGACCCCGACCGTGACCGAAACCTTAAAATACGAAGTCCCAACCCCTCAAAGGAATAAACGGAGCCCGAAACCCCAAAACGGAGTAAACCCAGTCCGAAACCCGAAACCCTAAAAGGAGTGAACCAGGCCGAAGGCGGAAAAGGAGTAAACCCAGACCGAAAAAGATGTAAACCCAGATCGAAACCAGATTCAAAGCGACAAAAAGTACACCGACCCCGATACCCCCTAAAAGAAGTGAAAGGTAAGCTTGAAAGAAAGCCGAAACAATAAAAACTATCAAACCCAGGCCGAGGCCCTAAACAAAACAAGAACAGACCGAAACCCTAATGAAAGAAGACCCACACCAAGGAGTAAACCCAGGCCGAAGCCCTACAAGGGGTAACCCCGACCGAAACCAGAATGAAAGAACAAAAGCGTACAGCCAGGCCGAAGCTTTAAACGGAGTAAACCCAGACCGCAACCCTAAAATGGGAAGGCCCGATCCCTCAAAGGAGCAAAAGCACCCGGGAACCCGAAAAGGATTAAGCTCAAAGGCCGAAGCCCTCAGAGGAGCAAACCCAGACCGCAACCGTAATGAAAGAAGGCCCAAAGCGAAAGTGGAGTAATCCGACCCCGACACGTTGAAAGAAGCGAAAGGTAAGCTTGAAAGAACTGCGAAACCCATCGAAACCCTAAAAGCGATCAAACCCAGGCCGAAGCCCTAAACGGAGTAAACCCAGACCGAAACCCTAATGAAACAAGGCCCGAAACCAAAATAGGAGTAAACCCAACCCGATACCCAGCAAGAAACGAAAGGTATGCTTGAAAGAAAGCCGAAACCCAAAACTATCAAGCCCAGGCCGGAGCCATAAAAAGAGTAAGCCCAGACCGAAACCCTAGTGAAAGAAGGTCCAGAGCGAAAACATGGTACACCGACCCCGAAAAGAAGTGAAAGTTAAGCTTGAAAGAAACCGAAACCCTGACAACGATCAAACCCAGACCGAAGCCATAAAGGAGTCAGAACAGACCGAAGCCGTAAAAAGAATAAACCCAGACCGAAACCCCAATGAAAGAAGCCAGGAGTAAACCCAGGCCGAAGCCTTACAAAGGACTGAACCGTGACCGAAGCCCTAAAACACGATGTCTCAGTGCCGAGAAGGACTAAACGGAGCCCGAAACCCTAAAAAGGAGTAAACCCAGGTCGAAACCTTAAAAGGAGTAAACCCAGACCGAAACCCGAATCCCTTAAAGGAATAAACAGAGCCCGAAACCGTAAAAGGAGTAAACTTAGGCCAGAGCCCTAATAGGAGTAAACCGAGACTGAAACCCGAATGAAAGAACAGAGGAGTGAACCAAAAAAGGTATACCGCGACCGAAGCTTACAGTACGAAGGCCCGATCCTTGCAAAGAACGAACGGAGCCCGAAACCCTAAAAGGAGCAAGCCGAAGGCGGAAAAGGAGTAAACCCAGACCGGAACCCGAATGAAAGAAGACAGAAGCACACCCAGGCCGAAGCTTTAAAAGGAGTAAACCCAGAGCGACAGCCCAAACCAAGCCGAGAAGGGCTTTCGCTCGAGACTGTTGTTTCGAAAGAAGCAGTGACCCAGAAAAGAAAGGCACAAGCGACCCAGGAAAAAATGACACAAGTGACTCCAAAATTAAAGACAGAAGTGATTGGGCACCCATCTTTCCCTGGCCGGTTCGGCTCCTAGGACTTTGTGGAGTCCAGTGGCTCCCGCTGTGTGAACTGCACAATTCTGGACGATGCGCTTAGCCCGGAATTGGAGTCAGAGCTGGAGATGATGCGGCAGACGACCTGACACGAAAATCGAAAGCCTTCAGTCTGTGCTCCCCATAGTCCTCGTACGTATATAGTCCTGATATTTGTAGACAACACGTTGGTCCGATGCGGACCTAGTTGTCGTTCTCCTTGCTTGGCCATCATGTTGCAGGGAGGTGTTGTGGTCCTGGATGAGTTCGAAGGTATTTGGCCCAATACCCATTGCGATAGAAGTCAGTGTTGTCAACGCAAGCCTGGTTTCCAAAGGAGGAGAATTTGGCAGCATTTTGAAGCGTCCCAAAACTCTTTTTGTAAGATTTGTACGGATTGAGCCACAGCGTCAGTCCGACCACCGAAGGAGCACGAGCAACTTGCGACATCCGCCAGGAACCTTCCAATCAATCTCATGGGCATCTCCCAGCCGGTGTTCCAACGGTCGTGCTTATATGGTTCCCATGGAATTCCTCACGATACTCTCTGTGTCTGCCCCGAAGCTATGCCTATTTTAACACCTATAATCCCGTCATATTGCCTGCTCTTCCCACTAGCAGCCACTAGCATATAGAAGACTCCATGTAATCCGGGCGCAATCCTTTCCCGACCTGATATTCTCAAGGCGCAGCTCCACCAGTGGCAGCCATGCCATGTAGCCATCGTAGTAGACGTCCACTGGAGCAGCAACCGCGAGCAAACAGGTCCGAACGCACAGCACTAAGAGGGTCTTGTGGGAAGTGCTGGAGCTCACACGATGTTCAATTGCTCGACTTCAGACATTCGAACCAGCCCAAGGTTCAGAGCTACAAGATTGGATTGGATTCCCGCGTTGTGATTGCACTCATGCAAGACATCAAGAGTATCAGAGAGGCCCCTGAATTATGGAAGGCCATGGTTTCTGTCTAACCTTTGCCACTTATGCAGCATAGAGCACAGTTTTAACACCTGCAGCGGCAGCGTTCTGGCCGGTTGAAACCTTCAACGGTGCCGCTGCAACTATGCATCAAATCTCGAGCCATGCTGTAGCCATAACTGAGCATTCTATGAGCAAGCAACCTTTTTTGTTTGTTAGTATCCTGGGTCGTGTGATGTACTTATACAAGTCGGACTTTGTTAGCTCATTCAGCACCATGCAGCGGCTTCAGCTGGACGAGCTTCCTGGAGCGGAAGGCTTCGATACGCCCCTCGGTCGGCAGCGCCAGAACACTGCTAGGCCTGAGAATCACGCGGCAGAGAGGCTTTGCTTACGTGCATGCCCGCACTCGTGGCTGCAGTGCAGATGCCGCATCTATGTGTTTGAAGCAATCGGAAGTCTGGATGACTGTTGCCAGGCCTTTGAAGGCTTTCCGCCCTGCCACGTTGGCGGCAGTCGCTTTACACCGAGGTACAAAAACTACCCGGCGTTCCTCCTTGACATGCAGGCATTCAGCCTAGAGGCTGGAACCGATGCCGAGGACTTTCGTAGCTCTCGAGCTTGGGTCCAGACCCGCACTCCTAGAGTACATCTTTCGCCGTGTTGCACGAGGCAATGGCACGTGCTAAGTCCGAGCACTCGGCTAAAGCACGATCCGTGCATGACAGAATCTCAGAATAGTTTTCAAAGTATCACAACTAATAATGGTGCTGGGAGTCATGAGGTAGATCATGAAGATTGGGATTGTCAGGGTCACCTGCTGAGGCCATAGCTCGTCTCTTCCTGAAGAAAAGTATCGTTCCAAGTTTATCGGACGATCCCCGATGGGAATCCACAGTACTGCTGTACAAGTGCTAGTGTGTATGTGTGCATGTTGCCCTTCGGCGCCTTTGGTACACTTCTCAACTTGTGCGTTTGCACCTGAAGTCGATGACGAGAGTTGTGTCATCCTTTGCGCAGGGGCCTGCTACTGGAGCCTCCAAGGCCACAGATCGTAGTGCATTACTCAAGGCATGAAACTACAGACAACTGCAACAACATGCAAAGGAAGAAAGGGCTTGGGCTTTCTGTACTTCAACATGATACTATTCAAACTACCAAAACCACCCTGTTCACAATTATCGAAGAAGGACGAGGCCATCGATTTCCAAGATGAAGCTGTCCTGAGCGCAGCAGCGGCTGAGTCCGAAGCCAAAGCAGGGGTTTCGAACCTAGCAACTTGGCAGTCTTTAGAATCAGTCTAATCATATCGAAGGACAGTCGGGCTGGTGACACTGTGCAAATACCACCATCCACCACTCATGTCACATTAGTTAATTAGTTCTTGCCGGATTCTGCCAGATGGGACCTGCGGATGTCGGCTAAAATCTGCCTAAACCAGGTTTCCTATGGGGGCTTGTTGCACGTCTCATTCCCCATACCAGACCAAAACAGGCCGTAGGTTGTTTCGAAGCAGAGTTGGTTTGAAGGTCCCTCACTGTGGGGTTCGCACCCATCGACTGTTGTAAGGTGACTCTCCATGCAGACAGCCTGGCCGTGACCTTTGAAGGCTCCACGCTGCTGCTCTTGCCGCTGCGTGGGGATGGCAAAGAAGGGCTCCAGACCTTCTTATTGCCAGCTCGGATCGTATCATTGGGACACGCAAGAAGCTCAAAGACAAGTCTCTTGCTTAACATTGACCGGCAGTTTTGTCGCTGCGAGCGAGTCTTCCATTGCAGAGTGTCGCTGCTGTAGCAAACACCAAAGACCAGCCCAGGCATCCAACAGGACGAAGTGATCTTGGTCAGTTTGATCGGCGGGTGGCTCCATGCGATCCAGGTAGGCCTCGGTCCTCGGTGGTGCGGTGGTCAAACAGTTCAGAACAGTTCTGACCCAGTGGAGGTGTCCCGAGATGGGCAATGCCGGACCTGGTGTCGGACGCAGCTGGACACGAAGCGGAATTTCCTGAGTGCCGCACTCATACAGGAGCCCACGACAAAGAAACAACGACAGACCCCGCCTGCAACTGCACACGCTTAGCAGTGTTGTCGTACGTTTTACGTTGCTTCCGAAAGGACTCGTCCGTCACGGCTCTGGTGTACCGAGCTGGCCACGGTGAAGCAACGGACATGCCTGGTTACATAGAGCTTATGGCTTTGCAGCTCGACGAGCATGCGCCGGAGGACCTTGAATGCTCTGAACAGTCGGTTTGGCAACTATGCGGGAGGATGTGGGTGTGAGATTGAATGTCGACGGTGTAAGCGAGGCGCGCTGTGTTCTTGTCGGTTGGACCGGTAGTCGGGTTGTTATATCGCATCCACAGCTGTAAACCTGTAGAGATTGTCGTGCTGACCTGAATAGTGGCTTGTGTGGACTCGTCATCGGCGACGCATGAAACTTATCTCTTTACAATGGCTTTCTTTACGAGACTAAAACAGTCACAGAGATCTCCTGCGGTAGAACCATACATTAGAATCATTAGAAGTAAGAAGCATCAACACGTAAGAAACCTGGCAACCTTTCAGCCAAGCATTGCGGGAGCTTGTTGTTTCGTTCGGTCAAGTACGCAGTTGATAAGTAGTTTAACAAGTTACCCTGGGAGAGTCCTGGGAGCTTTTCCTCACTTAACCAGGAAGCTAAGCCACTGTGGGTGGCTCACGGTCCTCATCCTCCACATGCTGCACACTGGGAAACGGCTCACACGGGGTTTCTGGTCGCCTCCGGAGGCTTTGCAGGGGTGCAAGAAGCTATTCTTCTCGTTCATACCAACATGTGACGCAGTTGGAATCTTTGCGGAGTCCATGACGGCTTGCAAGAGGCATACTTGAGGCCACTGCCGATCCATGCATTCGTTTCAACCGTCAATGCTCTCCAGCACACTCTAAGGATGCATCGGAAACCTAGACCCTTCAAATCGCCTTGGATACGGAACTTCTCTGAGCTCTTCAGCTCTCCAGACAACTGCAGTAAAACCTGCTGCACAGGCCCGTCCTTTCGCTGCAGGAGGCACAAAGAAATAAATCCAGCAAAGTCTGAAGTCTGAAGCACATACGTTATAAATCTGAGGCTTTCTGAGACCCTTTTGCTACGGTGGCGGAGCCCCACTTAAAAGGATCCCTCTCGCATGGAGGCTTCGAGCTTGCCGGTGCTGGCGACGGACCCACCTTGCAAACCGAAGATGCCGTGTGCACCGTGTTTCCGGGTTGCAATGGCCATTTAAAGAAGCAGCCGTTGGTGTGAGGAAGCCACAGGCCGCGCACGCCTCTACATTCGATTCGCATGTTGCGGGAAGTGGCGTCACACCAGAATTGCAGCAGGTTCCAATATGAACGGAACAGAGCGCGATGACTCGGGAATATTAGGACCCAGAGGAAAAGTATGAATTTTGGGGAGGGTTGTTGTGAACATGTCACAAGACTTGCCAGCAGATTTTGCATTTTGAGTTTGATCTCGTCATGTTGCAGCTGGGTACGTAGCGCGAAGGCAGCCGTGCCCCACTTTTCAATTTCACAACACTGCTAAAGTCAGGATCCTCTGAGTTTTGCGGTTCTCTCACGCATTTCTGCCCTCCAGATTCTCCGAGGTTTCGAATGGAGCCTGCAGCACAGGCAGAAATGAGGAGTTGGCTGCTTCCTAGAGGCCATAGGTCAGGACGAGATATCAGGAATGCAAAACACATTTATCCACTGTGATGCTGGGCACGACTACCTGGGGCCAGAACTAGTAGCTGCATGACAACCTCATCAGCCTTCTCATTCTCGTTGGTAGTATTCGCATGGACACTTTTGGTTGGTAAAGCCCGTGAGGCGATGTTTTGAGCTGCACGGAGCATGTGAGTGGCCTGGAAGTCGCTTTGGCACACAACTCCCAGGGCGCACTGCTCTTCCGAATGGCGGCTTGGTCCTTTCTTACTGCCTTCCTTGAAATCTGATTCTTCCCAAACGAACCACGCCGTAGGAGGGTTCCAGTTGTTTAAGCTTACGCAAACTCTCGCGGCGCCATGCCAAATTCATGTTTTCGGTTCTAGCTTTAACATTCCGTGCTTCCAAGGCTTCATTATTCCGTGCTTCCAAGGGGGAGTGGGTTGGCGGGCTGCTGATACGCATTGTTGGCTTCATCAAAGATGATTACACTCATTGCACATCCCGGAAGAAGGGCTGCACACTCTAACTAAGACGCCTGAACTCGACAGCAACGAGTGCAAAACGAGTCATTGTGTCCAAAACCTTTGAGCCCAAAAACCAGTGCAACACAAAAGTCTTGACCCTAAACCCCACATCCGCCTTTCAGAAACAACAGCAAAGCCTAGACTTCGTCTCCTGCACACCTGAAACGATGTCACGCCCCAAGCCTTGTGCAGCTGTCCCACTACTACTGCTGTTGCTGCTGCCCCTGCCATTACTGCTCCTCCTGCTGCGGCTGCTGCTATTACTGCTACTATTGCTACTACTGCTACTGCTGCTACTACTACTGCTGCTGGTACTAGTACGGTGCGACTACGACGACGTTCTTCTTCTGCTACCACTACTACCACTATTGCTACTGCTACCTACCCTACAAGGCCCTACAACTAGCAGTACGACTCAACAAGTTTTCGCAAGACGCACGATGTGCAAAAAAACATTGTCCAAACCATACACCTCCGAACCCTTGAAAACAAAGCAAGACAAAAGACGCAGTCGTAAAGCGCAGTTACCATTAAGAATGCTGGTATTCGTGGGATAACTGCACGGTCTGACGCACAAAATCTACGAACTTGTTCAAGCCCAGTATAGAATTTTGTATCCACACACATGCAAAGTTTTGCCTTCCAAAACCTTACCTGTCTGATTTTGTGTTAGGAACGCACACATTCACGAGGTTCTGGCTGGAGGACATGTGTTCTTCCACTGAGTGCCAAACAGGTCTTCAAGACTTGTTTCCCATCTGCCCACCTGTCTCATAGGGTACAACCTGACATGCACCGAAGCCGTGTGAAACCATGCAGGGTGTTCGTTGTGAAATGTGATATTTGTCAACAGCACGGTTGGAGCTTAGGTAACGGTCTTTTTCATTATTGTGCAGGCTGCATGCCCGTGAACCTATGCCGATTCCGGTTAACGAACATCCCAAGCAGCAGAGAAAGCAATCAAAGCGGACTCTACAGTAGACTATGGCTGCATCTCCTGAAGACATCTCGATAGACCCCGTCTCAGCGAAGAATACCACCAGCAGAGTTTGCATCTGAAGTGACGTTTGAAGTGTGTTGGTGAGTAGGGTTGAAGTAAAGGCCGAGGCTTCATCACGATGTTTTTTGATGTAGCATCACTGCTGTGCCGGAACCTGAGGTGTTGGAGTCTGAAGGTCCCGCGCTTCTCAATGCCGCCCTGATTCCAGGAGCAGCTGCTTGCGCGGCTGCCCGGGAGCCGCTGCAGACATTTGCGGTGTCGCCTGATCGAGGCTTCTTCGTCTTAGTGGATGGAAGTGGCCTGGCCGCATGGGCTGGAGCTTACACTTGCACTTTGGGTCAGAAGGGATTGTGATATGTAGATCCGGCTGCACGACGGATGCAAGAATGCAGGTGGTGGGGCATCTGTATTCCGCTGTCCGGATCCGAGCACTTCAAGCTCGCGCTCACCCACAGTCACGGTTTCCTTGGAGAGCGTGAGAGCAACGAAGCTGCTGGAGTCGTCTCTGTTGATGCGTACAAAGCAGGGAATTGTCCGCTGCAAGCTGAACATGTCTGCAAAAGTGGAAGGGGCGAAGCGCGAGCTGGTCTCCCGGGAACTCATGCCTCTCGGGATGGATCCCAAGGCTTTGCTGAGGATGCTCGACATGCAAGGGGAGGACTAAAAGAGCGAGTGTCGAAGCTTCAAAGCTTGCAGAGTGTCACACTGCGTTCAGGTCTTTCTAGCGAAACTTGTCCACACCCCGACGAAGCTGCCAGCTTCGCTGTATCTGCTGATCCACGTTTTCACGCGGTGGCATCCGTGGCCAGCAGGGCGGGGCCGGTACAACCGAGGGCTGGATCACAGTGCAGTGGCTGGAGCAAGCCGTCCACATACTATGATTGTGCGTGGGGCTGAAGTTAAGACATAGATGTTACTAGGAGGTTAGATAAGTTAGATAAAAAGTTAGCATAAGCTGAAAAAGTTAACATAAGTTAGCAAAAGTTAACTTGTGGGTTAAAAGAAACAATGATGGGGTGGCGGGGTCGCGGGTGGTGGTAGCGGGGCGGTGGAGGATTTTACTGGATGATGATTGCACATTTTCAGTGGTTGATTGGCCGACTGCAAGACATTGCCACAGTTACGATTGCAAAAGAGTGAGAGTTGGCCTTGTAGAACTGTTATTACCGTTGAAGCCGTTAGTTTGAGTAGATTCGAGTTTCGATTCAACGAATTCTTATTTCGCCATTGCGTGATTGTGATTATACTATATTATCATGAGCTGAAATTGCACAGTTGTGATTGTCGACAAGGATTATCGCAATCAAGGGGCCGTGTTAGATTGCATGGTCACTGTTCAGTTCATATTGGACCCACGGACACAATGCCTACCAATTGGCATTGGCTCAAGACTGGCTCATTGCATCCAGGCAAAAGTCTGTGACCGAGTGATTGCATTCTGGAGCACTTTGAGATTTCTGCTTGATTGCTGTTATTTGAATATTGCGCACACCTGACGATTCTCGAAACGCTATTGGAGTTTTTCACTTAGAAGCCTTCCAAGCCCCCCTCCAAAAGCCGCTCACTGCACGAACTCCGGTTCTGAATAGTGCTACACCGCTGCAGGGCTGATCTCAGCCGGGTAGCGAACTAACTGCAAAGCACTGGTGATTTTGCTATGGCGGAACTACGTCTATCGCTGGGGGACGCGGTCAAACTGCGCAGACCGGAGAGCCGCCCTCTGAAGGAATGACCTGTCCGCCTTGGGAAGTAGCTGCATGTGAGCTGCGGGTGAAGAGGGGCATTTATCGGCAATATTTTGGGCTTAAAGAGCCAAATAATCTGAACTGAAGCCCACTCAAGCGGAATGACAAGCATCAATCGAGAGGAGCGGGAGCAAATCCCAAGGCAGACTCTTAAGCCATAAAAAGGTTGACGGCGTCAGGGCACCCGATTGCGGGACTGAGGTGCTTTAGGCACTTATCAAACCAGCCCGCCAACTTTTGTGCAGCCGTATCTTCTGCCTATTGAAGGACCTCAAGGATGCGCATGCGCTTGGTCTGGTGACGTCTTCTAACCAATGCACGTTTTGTGACTTTGATTGGTGCTGAGGCGCCACGCGAGGAACAGCCCGCGCTAAAAAATTCATAAAAAGTTCATAGTTCGAGGCCTGAAAAGTTCATATAAAATTCATGTTTCCAGGCCTGAAAATTCATATTTCTAGGCCTCGGGATTGGCCTGGCCGGCACCCCACCACCCGCCGCCACCCCACCCCAACCCACCACCACCCCACCCCCACCACCCACCATCACCCCACCACGCCACTACGCCACCACCCATCACCCCACCAAGGTGGTGGTGCAGGGTGGATGGTAGGTGGTGAGGAGTGGTGGGTGGTGGCTGGTGGGTGCGCAGCGTATAAAGTTTTAAGTTTTTCTAGGAATGGATTTGTTATTCGTATTTTGTGGTGGAGGTGGTGGATAGCGACGGCTACCGCCTCCCTACCCCGCCACCCCGTCGGTACATTACAATCGCAGCGGAAAAATGGATTCCAGCAATCCATCATTATTTTGTCCAGAAATGCAGAATTAATTGAGCTGGTGTCCAATCCAGACAACGTATTTCTAATCGATAATATAATATAATGTAATGCCAGGGCAGAAAATAAAATTGAGTCGTGAAGCAAGCCAATCTGAGGCGTACTCAACCGAGGACAAGAAATATAATAATCTTCGTCCAATGAACGAAGCAATTCCGCAAATGAATCCTCAATAACGGCCTTTGCGCTTCTTGGCAGTGGTATCTGCCGCTGGGACCAATACCGAATACTCTTCTCTAACTAATGCGCTCGAAGATGCGTTAGGGGCCTCTGGTATATCAATATCATCGGTAATCTCAATGTAATCTTCATTAAATAAGTTTAAAGGTGGAACACCTTGCTATTGCATAGAGGATAATGAAAATGAATAATGGTGATGGACGTTCTCGGCGGGCATCTAATTCGTATACGTAGATTTATAGATTAATCTCGAGAGTCCATCTATTAATAATATTGTCATCTCGAGGATAATCGCGATATTCTTGTAATCTCTAGGTAGGTAATACTTGTGCTCATCTGGATCAATGGTGAGGGATCAATGGTGAGGCACTCAGAATGACTTATGTATGAGTAATTGTGCTTTCGGAATCCACCAATTCTGTTTGTAGTCTTCAATTCAGTTGTAATCATTATTCGTGGAAGACGGAAAATAATGTTTTTGATAATTTCGATAATTTGTGTTCGACTGAATCTTCCTTGGCGGTACCAATATGCTAGCTTCTTCAATGAGCCCTTAATGATGAATATTAGGTTCAATTATCCCATCGGTGGGAGAATAATAATGGTTTCGCCAGAGGCCAATCTCTTAATTAAAGATGAGGGAAGTGCTAAATGA